GTTATGACCTCGATTATGTTAATGGCTATTATTATTTTTTTGAAGTATTGCGTGCTTTTATGAGCACATCATTTAAGCCTGCCCACTATACTTACACATATGGAAGGGAAACCTGAACTCAAGAGTAAAATGTGAAGAGCAAACTGTGGGGAACAAAAATGGATCTGCAACTGACATACGAATTCATAGAAGCAGTCAATCTGATGATCTGATCTGAGCATTTGAAACCGAGTGCAGAAAAGAAAAGGAAGAAAAAAAAAAAGAATGATTTCAGAGAAGATCGGTTAAAAAGAGGAAAGTTATGGTTGGCACTAGCAGAAGTTACCATCAGGCTGGTAAACTCAGTCAAATAAACACACAGGGGATGAAACCTGTCAATAGAAAAATGTTGGCAAGAATATGTCAGCAGGAACATGTTGGCAAGAATATGTTGGCAAGAACATGTCAGCAGGAACATGTTGGCAAGAAAATGTCAGCAGAAACATGTCGGCAGTAATATGTCGACAAGAACATGTTGGCAGGAACATGTTGACAAGAACATGTTGGCAGGAACATGTCGACAAGAACATGTTGGCAGGAACATGTCAACAAGAACGTGTTGGCAGGAACATATCGGCAGAAACAGAAACAAACACAACGGCAGGTCCCGTTAGGTCATTTTCATATTAAAAAAAGAACGCAGAGAGTAGTGTAATGATGTGGCAGAACTAGAGCAATAACAGCTGCTGGATGACATTGTTTGGATAGATGTTGCAGAGTTGTACATTAGTGGTTATGTTGATCCAGGTGTACATCAGTGGTTCTGTTGATCCAGTTGTACATCAGTGGTTCTGTTGATCCAGGTGTACATCAGTGGTTCTGTTCATCCAGGTGTACATCAGTGGTTGTTGATCCAGGTGTACATCAGTGGTTCTGTTGATCCAGGTGTACATCAGTGGTTTTGTTGATTCAGGTGTACATCAGTGGTTCTGTTGATCCAGGTGTACATCAGTGGTTCTGTTGATCCAGGTGTACATCAGTGGTTCTGTTAATCCAGGTGTACATCAGTGGTTCTGTTGATTCAGATGTACATCAGTGGTTCTGTTGATCCAGGTGTACATCAGTGGTTCTGTTGATCCAGGTGTACACCAGTATTTCTGTTGATCCAGGTGTACATCAGTGGTTCTGTTGATCCAGGTGTACATCAGTGGTTCTGTTGATCCAGGTTTACATCAGTGGTTCTGTTGATCCAGGTGTACATCAGTGGTTCTGTTGATCCAGGTTTACATCAGTGGTTCTGTTGATCCAGGTGTACATCAGTGGTTCTGTTGATCCAGGTGTACATCAGTGGTTCTGTTGATCCAGGTTTACATCAGTGGTTCTGTTGATCCAGGTTTACATCAGTGGTTCTGTTGATCCAGGTTTACATTAGTGGTTCTGTTGATCCAGGTGTACATCAGTGGTTCTGTTGATCCAGGTGTACATCAGTGGTTCTGTTGATCCAGGTGTACATCAGTGGTTCTGTTGATCCAGGTGTACACCAGTGGTTCTGTTGATCCAGGTGTACACCAGTGGTTCTGTTGATCCAGGTGTACATCAGTGGTTCTGTTGATCCAGGTGTACATCAGTGGTTCTGTTGATCCAGGTGTACATCAGTGGTTCTGTTGATCCAGGTGTACATCAGTGGTTCTGTTGATCCAGGTGTACATCAGTGGTTCTGTTGATCCAGGTGTACACCAGTGGTTCTGTTGATCCAGGTGTACATCAGTGGTTCTGTTGATCCAGGTGTGAACCAGCGGTTGTTGATCCAGGTGTACATCAGTGGTTCTGTTGATCCAGGTGTACATCAGTGGTTCTGTTGATCCAGGTGTACATCAGTGGTTCTGTTGATCCAGGTGTACACCAGTGGTTCTGTTGATCCAGGTGTACATCAGTGGTTTTATTCGTCCAGGTGTACACCAGTATTTCTGTTGATCCACGTGTAGATCAGTTGTTCTGTTGATCCAGGTGTACATCAGTGGTTCTGTTGATCCAGGTGTACATCAGTGGTTCTGTTGATCCAGGTGTACACCAGTGGTTCTGTTGATCCAGGTGTAAATTAGTGGTTCTGTTTATCCAGGTGTACATCAGTGGTTCTGTTGATCAAGGTGTACATCAGTGGTTCTGTTGATTCAGGTGTACATCAGTGGTTCTGTTGATCCAGGTGTACATCAGTGGTTCTGTTGATCCAGGTGTACATCAGTGGTTCTGTTGATCCAGGTGTACATCAGTGGTTCTGTTGATCCAGGTGTACATCAGTGGTTCTGTTGATCCAGGTATACATCAGTGGTTTTGTTGATTCAGGTGTACATCAGTGGTTCTGTTGATCCAGGTGTACATCAGTGGTTTTGTTGATTCAGGTGTACATCAGTGGTTCTGTTGATCCAGGTGTACAAAACAGTGGTTCTGTTGATCTCAGCTAGGGTTCTGTTGAAAGGAAAGGTTCCAGGTACATATCACATCAATGGTTTCTGTTGATACCAGGTGTACAAGCATGAGGATGGAGGTTGATGCAGTCATCAGTGGTTCTGTTGATCCAAAGTGTGGTTCTGTTGATCCAGGTTTTTCAGTGGTTCTGTTGATCCACGTGACAAAAAAGGTTCAAAATCCCGGACAACATCAGTGGTTCTATGGATCCTAGGTTCTGTTGAATAATACAGTGGCCTACATGTGTATACTGTCAATGACATGCAGGAAGGGGAACTAAGGAAGATCCAGGAAATTACATGGTTTCAAAAGAGACGGAAGTACATCAGTGGTTCTGTTGATCCAGGTGTACATCATTGTGAAGAACTGTTGATCCAGGTGTACATCAGTGGTTCTGTTGATCCAGGGCACATCAGTGGTCTGGCCCCTCATTAGAATGCAGCAGTGATCATTGATCAGGTGTACAGAGTGGTTTCTGTTGATCCAGGTGTACAAGTGGTTCTGTTGATCAAGAGAATAGCAGGTGTACACTAGTGGTTCTGTTGATCATGTTAAGACAGTGGGTTTCTTCAGATCCAGGTGTACATCAGTGGTTCTGTTTCTACATCAGGGTTCTGTTGATCCAGGTGTACATGTGGTTCTGTTGATCCAGGTGTACAGGAGTGGTTTATTTGATCCAGGTGTACACCAGTGGTTCTGTTGAAAGGTGTACATCAGTGGTTCTGTTGATCCAGTGTACATGAAACAGTTCTGTTGATCAAGGTTGTACATCAGTGGTTCTGTTGATCCATCTGTACAAGGTTGGACATATGAGAGATCCAGCATAACATGGGTACATCCACTTCTGTTACTGAAACAGTATGTTCAATTGATGTTGGAATTAAGTGTGTATCTGGCAATCCAGGTGTACATATGAGAGAAGAGCATAACATGTGTACAAGTGGTATTGCTACTGAAACAGTATGTTCAAGCTTCTGTTGAATTGAGTGTGTATCTGACATATGAGAGAAGAGCATTCATGGGTACAACCACTATGCTACTGAAACAGTTGGTTTTGTTGATCTACACCTTAAGAAATTTGCTGTAGAAGACGGAGCACCTGATAGGCTTTTGCCCTAGTGTGAAAGGAAAGGTTGAAAATGTTGCTTTTTCTCACAATCAAGCATGAGGATGGAGGTTGATGCAGTCAATGCAGTTCTGAAGTGGATGAAAATTGATTTACCAGGGTTTTCAGTCTGATAACAGTCCGTGATGAAATTGTAGTTACTAATTCTTAGTACTTGTAATCCAGTGCCCACATGGGTATACTGGCAATGACATGCAGGAAGGGGAGCTAAGGAAGAGGGACATTACTTGGCTGCAAAAGAGACGGAAGTAAGAAAATTACTTTTGGACACGGCATGCATTGTGAAGAACTTTTGTACCTTGTACTAGTTTCATCGACAAACGGCAGATAAAGTGGTCTGGCCACCTCGTTAGAATGCAGCAAGATCATCACAAGGACTAGATCTCAGATGATCAGCTACAAGAGCAAGAGAATAGCCGTGAACTATAGATTGGCAACATTAAAGACACTGGGCACCTTCAGGCACTGGACCACAAATTATTTCTTTCCATGTCGCTCATTTCAGGAGTGGTTTATGATGATGATGATTTATTAAGAAAGGTAACCTGAATAAAAATGTGATGTTAGATGAAACAGTATGTTCAAGCTTGTGTTGGAATGGAGTGTGTATCTGACAAGAAATGACATATGAGAGAAGAGCATAACATGGGTACAACCACTATGCTACTGAAACAGTATGTTCAGTTTGTGTTGGAATTAAGTGTGTATCTGACAAGAAAGGACATATGAGAGAAGAGCATAACATTTGTACAACCACTATGCTACTGAAACAGTTAGCATCTACACCTTAAGAAATTTGCTGTAGAAGACGGAACACCTATAGTTATGCCCAGTGTGCTATGATGTTGATTCTGAAATCAGTAACTAGTAAAGTTTTAATAATAGTAAAGCGATGATAACAATGATGAAAATTGTAGTTATAATTCTTCTTCTTGTAGCCCAGGCCTTGTGGCATTAGTAGTTGTGTCTGTCTACAACTTTTGTTCTTGAGTATTTTCAGTCACTTCTGACATTGATGATTTTTCCATTCCAATGATCTTTCAAGTGTGTATGGAAGAGACGACTTTTGGGTTAAAAGTGTTACAGTATATTGAGGATAGATGATAATTAAGATGAGAATAATGGAGTGTTGATTTTGAATCAGCATCTGTGGCTTAGGGGTTGTGAACACACTTCGCAATCTTGGGGTGCCGAGCTCAATCCCAGCTGCAGGCAATACTGCCTTGCATTGATTTTGACAGTGATACAAAGAGCTGACCATTCAGGAAGCAATGGCAAACTACTGAAAGTAAATTTCCCTATAAAAACTGTAAAAGCCAAAAAAAATACTGGGGTTGGTTCCCCAAAATCCTGTAAAAGAACATGCAACTAACTATTTTTCATACTGATAACGGAGATCTTATCCACAAAGAATGGATTGTGTCTGCAGGATTGAAGGCTTTGGCACCTATAACTTCCCCACCGACACCCGCTACGAGGGGGAGATGAAGGATGGAATGTGTCATGGCAAAGGTACACTGTTCTTTCCCAATGGCAGTCGTTATGATGCTACCTGGGAAAATGGTATTGCCGTTCAGGTAAATCATTTCACCATTATCCCTGTTAACATTATCAGCACCATTATCATCATCACCGTCATTACCATCATCATCAAAACTGACTGACCAACTGTAGTCTTTTATTTTCAATTTTGTGATCCAAACAAACATTTAGAACCAAACAGAAGGGAGTTAAAAAAAAGATGTCAGTGAATTTCAGTAAACTAGCTGATAATTCTAGCACCAGTTAGGAGACACATGAGTAAAAATGTATTTTAATATGAATAAATTGTCCTTCTACTGGAACCACAAGGCCAGATAATAAAAAGAGACCTCCCCAAAAAATAGAGACCTTCTTCCCATGTGAGTTCTGCAGTTGGTGCGTACACCTGTACTAAGTTTATATCAAGTGGTTTACTATGGATCTTTACTAATAGCACCCTGTCTGAAATAGTCTAATATCCGTTAACAGTTTTTGCACACTGTGGGTCCAGAAGGATACCAGCACTATTTTTATGTTCTCTCCCACCTGAGTAAATGCACTCATCTGAATACTTTTCTCTTGCACCTGAGTAAATGCACTCATCTGAATACTTTTCTCTTGCATTTCACTAATTCCTAATAATTTAATACTCATTCTCCCCATTTTCCTGTTTATGTTGTCAAACTTTCTAGTTTGTACAAGTGTTCTGATACCCCATGTTCCAATGTTTAGGACGTTACTGACATTTATTTTTTTCTACAGTAGCTGGATGATGGTCAGGTATCACCTGTAAAACACTTTGCTCCCTACTGGGCGAGGTGATTCCATTAGGGAAAATACAGCAGTGGTTTCCCCTTGCCTTCCGCTGGTTTGTTTATGGTTTAACTCCAGTAGTTTTTGTCTAAAGAGACATACCCTGCAAGGCAGCAGTGGAGAGTTTATGATGGTGCCTCTTACCTACTGATGGCCATGTCACGGAGTTTTGAGGTATTTTATAGATCTAGCTGTCCCACCAGCTAGTTGGCCTCCTCTCAATGACCGCCATCTGTTTCAGTCAACGGCCACTTATTCAATCTATTTGTGGCTAACCTTTATATCTAGAGGCCGCTCCACCATCCACCACCTGGCAGACGCCTAGTAGTAGAGCAGGCTCCTACCCCAGGATATTTCTAAATATATATACATAAAAAGTCGGCTCTGTGGCTAAGTCGTTGTGAATGCTTCGTAATGCCAGGATGCCGGGTTCGATCCCAGCTGCAGGCCACACGTCTTGCGTTGGTTTCGACAGTGGTATCAAGAAAGCTGACCGTCCAGAAAACAATGGCAAACTACGGGACGTAAATTTGCCTAGAGAAACCACACAACAGCCAGGGGCTGTTAGGGTTGGTTCTGCAACGTCCTGTAAAGGATAGGCAACTAACCTTCTGATGCATAAAAAAGCTCAGCTGAAGTTATGCTTGTAATGGCTTTGATGATATGTTTGTTTTTCCTGTGTATGGATGTTTTCCCCTCTCTAGTGCAGTGTGAATGTTTATGCACTGTTTAGGGAAAGTACACATTTGCTGATGGTTTGGTGTACGAGGAAGAAGATTGGAAGTACTGTGATGGATACGACAGAAGGTTCTACACAGAAATCATCGGGAGCCTAATGCCAGCCGGTAAGACACAGTGTGGTTTATTATTGTCTTTTTCTGGATATAGAGTTTCAAGTGTCTTACTTGGGGCATAGAAGTACAAAAGTTTCTATTAACAAAATGCAGGCTGTATTCTTGGGGGCATAGATAACAAGTGTTACCTTGAGTTGTAGAACTAGCAGCGTTATATAATACTTAGGACATAGATTTACGAGTTTTGCACAGTGAGGTAAAAATATAAACAATTTCAAACCCTAATCTTGGGGAGTAGGGGGAGTATAGATCTAGGAATTTCACATCTGAGTGTTGCACTGGGACATTTAAAACAACTAGAATTATTATATTGTGACATTTGACTAGGAGTGTTACACTTGTGAGAAAGAAACACGAGTATTACACAAAGGATATAGAGCTACAAGAATTATACTTGGTGGCCAGTGTTGTGATACTGATCACATTACCCAAGAAGTGCCAAGTTGTCTACGATACATGGGGCGAGCACACTGAATGCACTTACTTTATGATTTCCCTTACTTTTATGATTTTCACATTTAGGATTTCCTTTACATCTAATATTTCCTTTACATTCATGATTTCTTTACATCGAATATTTTTCTCTACGTTTATGATTTCTTTACATTTAATATTTTCTCTAAATTTATGATTTCCTTTACATTTATGATTTCCTTTACATTTATGATTCCCTTTACATTTGTGATTTACTTCATATTTATGATTTCCTTTACATTTATGATTTCATTTACATTTATGATTTCATTTACATTTATGATTTCATTTACATTTATGATTTACTTCATATTTATGATTTCCTTTACATTTATGATTTACTTCATATTTATGATTTCCTTTACATTAAAATTTTCTTTACATTTATTATTTCCTTTACATTTAAGATTTACTTCATATTTATGATTTCCTTCACATTAAAATTTTCTTAAATTTATTATTTACATTTATGATTTACTTTATATTTATGATTTCCTTCACGTTAAAATTTTCTTTACATTTATTATTCCCTTTACATTTATGATTTACTTCATATCTATAATTTCCTTCACATTAAAATTTTCTTTACATTTATTATTTCCGTTACATTTATGATTTACTTCATATTTATAATTTCCTTCACATTAAAATTTTCTTTACATTTATTATTTCCGTTACATTTATGATTTACTTCATATTTATGATTTCCTTCACATTAAAATTTTCTTTACATTTATTATTTCCGTTACATTTATGATTTACTTCATATTTATGGTTTCCTTCACATTAAAATTTTCTTTACATTTATTATTTCCTTTACATTTATTATTTCCTTTACATTTATGATTTACTTCATATTTATAATTTCCTTCACATTAAAATTTTCTTTACATTTATTATTTCCGTTACATTTATGATTTACTTCATATTTATGGTTTCCTTCACATTAAAATTTTCTTTACATTTATTATTTCCTTTACATTTATGATTTACTTCATATTTATAATTTCCTTCACATTAAAATTGTCTTTACATTTATTATTTCCGTTACATTTATGATTTACTTCATATTTATGGTTTCCTTCACATTAAAATTTTCTTTACATTTATGATTTCCTTTACATTTATGATTTCCTTTACATTTATGATTTCCTCTACATAACATTGATAAGTAAACTGACATAACTGTATATACTCTAAACAAGCCATAGTAGCTTGATGTTTGTCTGTTTTGCCCCAAGGTCTTGGGTTCCAATGCACTCCAATAAGAATGTGTTCTAATTGATTTTGACTACCAGGTTGACCCAGCTCAATGGAGTACCAGGAAATGTGCTGGGAAATAAAGGCAGCTGGTGTAACATTGACCACATTACCCATGTAATGCCGATCGGTCTATAAAATATGAGTAGCATCACAGCCCGATGTGCCTCTGGTATGAAAAAGGTCTTTTACTTCTTCTTTGTCACGTCCTCTTTTACCACTTCGGGCGTCGAGAAAAATATAGGGTTCTGCTTCTTGCTCTCCCCGTGTGGGTTCCGGGTCCCCATTAAGGGGGGAGAACAAGAACAGACCCACTGCCTACCCAAAAAAGCATGTCATAAGAGTCATCTAACTGGAAGCTTCCTTTAAAGTCGGAGTGCATCTGCCCAAGCGGTAAGGAACAACCAACTGCGCACAACTAAGCCAGTAAAACAGATTCACATGCAAAACTGAGGCCCTGGCACAAAGCCAAACTCCAAATGGACAAATAATCAGGACTTTCCTCCAGTGAACAAAGAAACAGAAGTAGAGACTTTTTGCTCTTCAGGCCACCTTGACCACAGACACATCGTGTTGTTGTAGAGTTTCTCTGATGTTCTATCATGTTTTTTGTCTGCCTGTTGCTGTATGTCCATCTCCTCCTTTGGTTATGGTATGGCTTCCCATGGTATTCTCTCTAAGTGGGCAAACCATTTTGATTTGCTGTCTTTGTATGTAATTTAGAATTGGTTCTCTGCCAACTGTTTCCCTTATGATCTCATTCCTCATTTTACCTCTTCTGGTCCCTCCCACAGCCCTCCCCAGACATCTCATTTCCATGGTCACTAATATTTCTCATCTGGTTTGTTGGAGTCTCTGGCACTGAATGTTTTAAAATTTACTCCAAGATTTTTGCCAGTCAGTTTTTTTCTTAGTTCATGTGATGTTTTTGCCTGCCAGGCCACGAGCAGCTGGTCAACAATGAACCCAGGCATGACATCCCAGAAGGCCACTATGACTGCGGTGATGGCTTCTACAACCCCAAGACAAGAGTTGTTGTCGACTACAACCACAAGTTCTTGCGGAATGCTGGTATGCATACTTTATTCTTTCACAGTTCATAACCATGATGTTGACCTTTCAATCATAGCTTCTTTGACTCTTCTAGTTCACAGGATTGTGAGTGAGTCTGTTCCGGGACATCTGTCTGTCTCAAGAGAGCGAACTGCGACTCAATGCGTTGCTCACAGAACGGCTCGCAATAAACAACGACACCAGCAACATCACACATCGTCGGTGGTGTCTCCGAAATAATCTAGAATTAGCAACATCACACATCGTCGGTGGTGTCTCCGAAATAATCTAGAATTAGCAACATCACACATCGTCGGTGGTGTCTCCGAAATAATCTAGAATTAGCAACATCACACATCGTCGGTGGTGTCTCCGAAAAAATCTAGAATTAGCAACATCACACATCGTCGGTGGTGTCTCCGAAATAATCTAGAATTAGCAACATCACACATCGTCGGTGGTGTCTCCGAAATAATCTAGAATTAGCAACATCACACACATCGTCGGTGGTGTCTCCGAAATAATCTAGAATTAGCAACATCACACATCGTCGGTGGTGTCTCCGAAATAATCTAGAATTAGCAACATCACACATCGTCGGTGGTGTCTCCGAAATAATCTAGAATTAGCAACATCACACATCGTCGGTGGTGTCTCCGAAATAATCTAGAATTAGCAACATCACACATCGTCGGTGGTGTCTCCGAAATAATCTAGAATTAGCAACATCACACATCGTCGGTGGTGTCTCCGAAATAATCTAGAATTAGCAACATCACACATCGTCGGTGGTGTCTCCGAAATAATCTAGAATTAGCAACATCACACATCGTCGGTGGTGTCTCCGAAATAATCTAGAATTAGCAACATCACACATCGTCGGTGGTGTCTCCGAAATAATCTAGAATTAGCAACATCACACATCGTCGGTGGTGTCTCCGAAATAATCTAGAATTAGCTCACACCCCTATGCCCCAGAGGAGTCCGATGATTTATGAATGAAACGGCGCACAGTGCGTAACCTAATTTAAACGTCACGGTTATCGTGAACAGCACCGAATAAACTATTGAAAACAAGTTTTTATGGAATGCTGGTTTACATATTTTGTTCTTTCAAATTGAGAATAAAATGTGGAATTGAGATGTCATCAGTAGCATGTGGACTGCCCAGTGGCCTAGGCATTCACATCTGTTCACAGATCTCGGTCCTTGGTATTTTGAA